ATGTCATTCCGTTTTATGGTAAGAAAATAGGTTGTTGTTGGTGCTGCATAGTTGGGTTACGGGTACAGTCGATCCCATTGTCTTGGTCTTTGTTGACTTTGTGGAGGATTTGATTAGTTAGTTTTGTTTAGTCCGTTTGTGGGTGGTTTGTTTGTATTCTTTGCATCGTCTTGATGCATTCTAATAAAGTTCTATTATTTATCCAAAAAAAAAAGCTCAATGCTTATCTTTCCATATCCTTCTATCAAATGTTCCAGAAGCATAATTTCATGCTCTACCCAACTACCTTATGAGAGAGAGACAGTGATAAATTGGATGACTACAAATTCAAATCCTGAAACAAAAGTTTGCAACATATCAATTAGACTGAAGCGCAATGATTCCCTGTCCAAAAGCACAGACCAATAAACCTCACCCACTCTCTAAATCAGAAGTCTCCTAATAATGGAGTTGTGCCAATGGTAGAAAAGGCAAGAGAACGAATATAGCACAAAATGTCAGGCTGAAGACTCAAGACACATCATTTAAAATAATAAATCTCAAGTAAAACTTTGAATGAAGACAATTAGTCAAGCTCCTAGAAATTGAACTTACAACAAATTTCCACGGATCATGGGAAGCTAATGCAGCATCCAGGAACAAAAGGCAAATATGAAGAGCTATTGCTTGCAAATACATAATTACAAAAACATCACACAGAGGAATTTGAATAACATTGTCTCATCATTGTTTCTTTTTTCTTGGGTGGAGGGTTATAAGGCACCATAGCATAACCCTTGCAGCTTATTCAATCATACCTCATCTATTGGTTCAATCTTTTGATATAAAGAATCAAGAATGGAATAGGCCTTCGCATATTCATGAAGATGAAACCAGATAACTGCCTGTGTATAGCCATTTTGAAACAAACATCAATCCAAATTAAGCGTCAGAAAAAAAAGAAAAAGGTGGGGGGGGGGAGGAATCAAAAATCAAAACCATTACAACAAGCCACCAATAAATTAACTAGACACAGTATCAATTGAACATACTATATTTAACATTGTCACAGAAGTGTCAAATTCATTGCCATAAACATGTGAACTATTTGCACTGGAAAATTGATGTGCCTCACTATTGGTTCCTTTAGATCCCAATGCAGTTTTGTTGCCCAAATTGCGAACAGCGTCTACATTTTCGCCGGATGCATCAGCAAGCTCATCACTTCATTTCTAAATCAAATTAAAGAATACAAAACAAAATGTGAGAACAAAGGAAAATTTTGAGTCAATTGATAATCTAATGTGATAACATAACTATGATTCCTATTATTTCTATGATTATACATTCAATTTATTTTTTCCAATATTGTGAAAAAATATTAAACTTGACAGAAAGAAGTGTATATAATAAGGGTTTAAAGCTGATTAGTGGGTATGTTCTTCACATTATTATGTAGTGTTTAACTCCCTTCCCATTTGTCTAGTTTACTGACTTAGGAATGACTTTTGAAAATTGCTTCTTAGGATGGCCCAAAAGACAATGGTTAGAATGATTTCTTGATTATTAAAAAAAAAAATTATATAAACTATACTGAATTCCAAAAACAAAACTATTTATTTAAAAAAAAAATCTATAAAAAAAATTGACCTCAATAAATTATGATATCCTGCCAGGCTAATGTGAATTTTTGCATCTACGGTCTCTTATTGAATTATGCTTTGTGGGCTTATATTTTAGGACAAATTACCTTCATAGTCTTTGTTGTTTGTCTTTTGTGTCAAATTGGTTCTTCTTGTTCTAATTGTATTAGTTTTATCTTTGAATTATTCACATTATGTTTAAAAATTGAACTAAAATCGAAGAGTAAAATGATTCATTCATTGCTTATTTTGAAAATAAGGTTAAAAGTTAACTTTTTGACTTTTTTTGAAAAAATGTGTAAAAAAGTGAAGAGAAAATGTGACCTTAAAAAGTTAAAAAGCCAAAAGTTGGCATTTAACCCAATTGCCAAAGTGGTTGAGGGATTGATTTTCAATTTGAAATGTTCCAATCTTTTTGGAATGGTTCATTTTATAGGGAAAAATTAGAATTGGGAATTGTGCAGCCGTAATTGTTGACTTTTGGTGAATAGTAATGACTTTTTAACTTTTTGAGTAACTTTTTAACTTTTTGGCTTTTTTTAAACTACCCAAACTTGGCCTTAATACAAAGAAGTAATGGAGCCTGTGTACATTTAAGCTAAGACTGACCTATCCAACCTGATTTTAGATCATTTGGGCTGGGTTTTCTATGTTGGTTTCATGGATCTGACATGTGCCAGCTTGGCTTTTTGGCTGATCGGTAGCAATTGTATTGTTTGTCTATATGAATGATAAAGTGTTCACATTGCGAGTGTATTGGGTTCGTTCATATTTTTATGTATTTTCAGTCACATTTAAATCCAGTTGCCACTGAGCCAACCTTGGTGCAGATGCTTGTATTTTCTAGAGGCTTTTGTGTTTGGAATGTATGAAGAACTAACTACTTTATAATGTGAACACTTTTCAAGAAAAATAAATTCACTAGTGTTGTGTTTGGATCATGGATTTGGGTAGGGATTTGAAAAGTGAAAGCGAAGAGGTTGGTGAAATGTAATTATATTTCATTCATATTTCATTTGCATTTTCATTTTCCTTTTTAAATTCCTACCCAAATCCATAATTCAAACACAACCTGGGAGCTTATTTGGATATGTTTAATTTTGCATAAGGTTTCAAATGAGTTCATATTATGTTTCACAACTTCTAAGATAACTTTTTTAACATTCCCAATTGTCAAGAAAATTAGTGCTTGGTAGGATGGAAATGGGTCTCTCTCCTTTTTTTCTTTTTTTTTAATTAATTAATTATTATTGTTGCTGGCTGTTGCTTAATTGGTTAGCATCTAATCCAGGTTCTACAAAGTGCATCTGGCATGTACAGAAATTTAAACTCATTGGCAATGCAATTAACAAAAAGGGGTGGTCTTCTTATGACATGCTCATGTTCTGGAGCTATGACCCAAAGCGGGACGTTCTTGCAAACACTTCAGGCAAGTAGTTTGCTACAGGCAATCATATATGAACTGAACTCTTTAAGTATATCTTTTATTTGTTATATATACATTTTCCAGGCTGCTGCATCCATTGCGGGGAGGAAAATCACAGTTATACGTCAGGCTGGTGCGGCTTATGATCATCCTATTGATCCGTCGTATCCAGAGGGAGCTTACCTTTCTAATATCTTGCTTAGAGTGCTGTGAAACTCAATTCACCTCTTGGCCAGTCATCTGGCTAACCATGGAACCAGTTGGTACCAATCTTGTTCCTTGAGCATGAACTCTGTTCAGATGAAGATGAGCAAAGGACCAGACAGAGGCTGCTTTCGGCAAAACAGTTAGTGCTAGACCTAGTCGAATTGGGCACCCAATTGTGGACTTGTGGCCATTTCCCCATTTTTGTAGGCATTGAAAAATTGTGAATACCTTCTCCCACATTACGAAGAAAAGAAAAAGAAAAAAAAAAATAGAAGAGAAAAACTTAATATATATATTATTTTTAACACAAGATGTCATTTTCCATTAGGGTTATGTTTTGGACCAAGGAATTGAGTAGGCATTTAAAAAAAGGAAAGAAAAAAAAGTAGGCGCAACGCAATACAAATCCCTACCCAAATCACAGCGTAAAGGGGATAACAAAATTGTGTAATGCAATGGATAACGAAACTTCAAATTTAGAATACAAATCACAACTAAGAAAAAATGATAGATTATAAATATATTTTTGAGATTTATTTAAAATATAAATTGTCCGTGTAATTTGAAAAATTATAAATATTCTGTTGTCAAAAAAATTTATTTAACAGAATTATTTGAAAAATGAAAATTTTAATTTCTCCTATATAATAATAAAATTACTTGAATTATTATTAATTAAAATAAAATTTTGATGTCATTAAAAATTGTTAATTGATTTGATAATTTATTAATGAAATGGATCATTTGTTATAAAATTAAAAATTTCAAGAGAGGAGATGTAATTTTCATAATTATATGAGGTAATTTTTATTTTATACAAATTTTAAGAAGTGAATCTATAATTTATTTATTTTTTAAAAAAATCATATAAAAATATAGTATCAAAAAACAAAGTATTCAGTGTGTTTGGTTTGAATTTTTTGGATTAAGTTTTTTGAAAATTAATTTTTTTGTTTTTAGTGAATATTTTTAAAATTTTAAACATTTTTTTTACTTTTTTAGATGCACCTTATTTAGATGTATCTAACAAGTAAAAAATTTGTGAAAAAATATTTTAAAAAATTAATAAATACATAAAAATATAAAAAATGTACTGAATTCTAGTATTTTTTTGTATTTTTAGTATTTAGGGAATTTTTAAAAGATTTCTTTCACAAATTTTTTACTTTTTAAGTATATTTATGTTAAGTATGTCTAAAAAATTAAAAAAAAAATTTAATAAAAATATCAAAAGAGTTTTTAGAAAACTCTTACCCTAACTGTTACTGGTTCCCACTATAATACGTCATGACGAGCCGTGATGATATATTTCTTTTACGTCTTCCCAGGGAGATGATGGCATGGAACGCAAGGGTACAAATGTCAAACCACCAAATTGCCTGCCCTTTGAGGACTTTTGGGCCAGGGCAGGGAAGGGATGCGAGGGGAGGAGGCTAAGCCTATGGTGTAGGGACTTTGGGGAACATTAACCACCGAACATACATAAACAAATTGGGGCAATTTTGGGACTCCCTTTAGGTCTCATGGGAACAGCCCATACAGGATTCGTAAGTGGTGGTGAGATTAATTGAGATGCGTATAAGTTGGTTCAGACATTTGGTTATCAAAAATAAATAAATAAAAACAAAACAAAAAAATAAAAACAAGAACTCGTATTATATTATATTTGTAAAATTATACATAAAATTTTACAATACGTAACCAATGCCACAAGCTTCAAAATTCCATACAACTACACACAACAATGCTTCAAACAGATGTCTCATACATATATATATATATATATATAGTAATATCATCACTTCACAGTTTCATTTTCACATCGTCACATAAAACATCATCCACTAATGATGAGTGTACCCCTTCAAAATGTGTCACAAGCTTGCTCAGTGACCTCCTGGGTTTCGGTTCCATGACAAATATGATGGATCTCCAAGTCGCCTGAGAGAGAGAGAGAGAGAGAGAGAGTGAGCAAAATTAGTTTCAATATTGTCATTTCACCTGTGAGAAGGATGTGAAGCACAATATGACGCTTCTTCCTGAGTTTTTTTGAAACATTAAATAAACATACATTGCAACATAAATTTACTAGCAGTAGTAGTAGTGTGACAAGAGAGAATTTTGGGTGGGCGTGGTGGGTGAAAAGAATATATATACCTTGGCTTAACTAGATATACAATGGTGAAAGCCATAGCAAGAAAGAAGCACAAGCCGCCAACAGTGAGGTATGCAATGCCAAGAAAGTCATTCTTTCCACCAAGCCAGGTAGTTGTAGAAAGAACAAGCTTCTTCTTTCCATCAAAACTATAGGTGTTGTAATTGTTCTGCAATGTCACCTGAATCACATCATTTGCCTGTAGATCCACCTCTATCCTCCCGTACAACTTTCTAAATGTTGGAAGCGCTGCAGTTCTCATCCATACAATGAGGTCCTCCTGCTCACTCAACTGTCACCACAACATCATAATAATTAGAAAAATAAGTAGAATGGAAAACAACCTTAATTGATAATATAACAAAACAAAACAAAACAAAACAAAAGAGGAAAGCAAACAAGAATGGCATTATTATCAGGGCCAGTTTTGTATCATCCTATCCTTTATAATAGATGTTTTCTGGTAAAAAAGCCTTACTGGTTTGGAACTAAGATTTGCACCCCCTCTAACTCCACTTTGAAAATTTTTAGGGATGACATCTTTTCCAAACTTGTGTTCCCTATCACTCTTCCATGAGATATCCGTCTTGTTTACTGTCAATTGCTGGCTGCTGTTGACAGAAAAGCTGTAAGTATCATTGAACAAACTCCAAGCTATAAGACCGCAAGGCACAATTGTCATGTTATTCACTTTATCTTCAGGTTTACATGCGCTTGTTTCATCCTCATCCTTGGCAGATTTCAACTGTTGATCACTCCGGCTCTTCACATACCTGAAAAATGAGATTATTACATGAAGCCAAAAAAATAATCAAATATAAAATTTGCTTCAGGTTCTCATCAAATCAAAAACCAAATATCCCTACTGTTTTAGCCATAAAACAAGAACGCTTCATCTTGTTTTGGAAATAATGAAAATAAAGGAAAAAGGGTCAATCCTCATGGATAAACCACATACTAAAACTGCTACTGTGGCACACATTCCATTAGACCTTGGCCTTTTGGCATATTGATCATGTTTTTGTAAGAGTTGTGATTCACGACATAATATTAATTCAAAATATTGTGCGAACAAACAATAGCATTTCTTGTGTTCCAAAAGCAAGTTTAATGGGAAAATATCAAAACTAATTGCCAAATTTACTTTCCTGCAAAAATTTAGTGCAAACGGAAAAGGTAAATATTTTTGTGATACAAAAACAAGTGTGGTGATAGTTTTCCTAAAACCACTTCCCAGATTTGCTTTCCAGTAGTACCAGCTATAGCTAAAACTATCAACCAAATAAGACAGCCACTATCCTAGCTTCTTCCCATAAAGAGCAATACTACATAGAGTAATTCGACCTATTGCTCTGCATCCCCTCATCAGTTTACTATGAAAAGAAGATTCACAGGGATCAAACTTTGTAGTATGCACACACACACACACACACAACAAAAATCAGCAGAGTGTTCAGAAAACAGACGGCTTCAGATCACAGAGGTCCAGTATTGTCCCAGAAGGTGGGAGAGAAATTAGAAATGTATACTTTCAGCAACATAAAACAATCTGATCATATAACCACTGTCATCCAAGATAGAATAAAATAAATTGTTAGATATAGCAAGGACGAGTTATAGATACCTGCGATGATTCTGGTAGAAGTTGTCGAGCTGATAATACACATAAATAGGTTGCTTCATATGCTTCGGTACCTGACACATTTGGGAAAAAAAAAAGGTGAAGACAAATTTATCAATTCCAAAACCACAACACTTAAATTCATGCTTTATACTCGTATTAGAAACCTGATATTTGAATCATGTTGTTTTTTAAAAATAGCCAAATACCCCTACATGATTTTGCCATTTTAATAAAACCATCCAAATTGACATAATTTGTGCCGCATGAGCCCAAGTTGAGAGTTGTTTTAGAAAGAAAAAAAAAATCAGTCAAAGCCAAAGGGACATATAAATACCCTTATCTCATTTTTTTTTTTTTTTTGATAAATATATATACCCTTATCTTCATCTTCTTCTCCAAAAACCATAACCTCTAACCATGACCATCTTCTTTCCCAAAAACTTACACAACCACCTCCCCTACCATCCTAGCACTCCCAATTACCTCCCAGCCACCTCCCCCACAACGACTACCAGCTATGTGGGGAGTATTGGAGTATTTTTAAAAGACAAATGGGTCAAGTACTCCAGGGGCATACCACATGGGTAAAATGGATTTTTTCCTAATAACAATAATAATAATGATGAATGATGCGGAGGAATTATACCGTTAGTGTTTTGTTGCAAGTTTTATCCTCAGAGCTTTGAATGTATTTGACCGTATCACTTCTATTGGCTACTGGTATGCAGTCAGTTTCATAACGATAAATAATTTCAACCACCTAATGCAAAGAAAAAGACCTCATAATCAATGATATAAGAAAGAAAATTGGAAGAAAAAAAAAATTCTTAGAGCAAAATCAGTCTTGAGCATACATCCCGAGAAGCAAACAAGGAGGCTACTCCAATGGGAATAAAGACAATGCTAACAAGCATGAATGCTGAAATCACCTGCACAGAACAAAGAAAAAGTCTTAGACAGGCATGCTGCCTATAATGTTAACAATACAACCAAGTAAACATCAAATATTTGCAAAATAAATAAACAAAATACTCACCCATCTTGGTGTAAGAATTGGTTTGCAAGCAGGAAGTTCCTGTTGAGTAAACTTCGAATCTAAAGCAAAAAATAAAGACAGAAATTTTCTTAATCATTAAAATTTCATTATGTATTAAAAGAAAATATAAAAAAAATAACCATTATTTCATGATGCCTCATAAAACATGACTAACAAAGAAAGCCCCTAAATTAAAACAAGTGCTATAAGAAAATGGTGAAAAGATTAATGAGTACAAAACATAACTCCATCATATATCCATTAATCGGGAAAAGTGTCTTCAAGCACCTAATGATTGAAAGAGCAAAGTGGATAGCAAGGTCACACATCCCAGTATATCTCTCACTTAATCACACTTTGACGTGGAATTGTAATGGGATTTGGTGCATTAGTGCCGGACCGGTATACTTGCATCCATAAGTAAGCATACTTATGACTAAAATAAGATGAAATATACTCCAGCAAAAAGAGATCACTGAGGAGTTGATGAAAATCAATATTCACACTACAAAATCTAAACATCACAAATAGGAAACCATGTATCAAAAGATGCTATAGGTGAAGTTGTAAAAGACGAAGCATAACCAAATAGTACTTATTTTGTTCAACTAATCAAGCTTAATCCCAGTCACTTGATTGCTTGAGTAAATAACTCATCCCACTCAACTCTATTTAAAGCTATACCCTCCTTGAGACCAAGGCCATCATATCATGTCTCATAGCATCAACCAACATTCTTTTTGGCCTTCCTCTTGAATCTTTTTTAGCGCAGGATCCAGTCATCTCATTCACACCAACATAGTTGGATTATATTTTCATAAAACCAAACCAACTAAAATCATATTCAGTCAATGCAACTTCTAATTTCCAAAAGACATTCACTTCTTATTCTATCTTTCCTTATAACACCCATGCTATGTAAGTTATATGGTAACATTCCACCACCACCCGTGCTATGTAAGTATTTATTTGCTATCTCAAATCAATTTATGCTTTCATTTGACTTTCATACAATCACATGTAAAACTCACATAAATAAACCCACATATCCAATTACTTGGAATGGGCTTTCATGAATCTTTTTTTCTTTATCATCTCTCTTTATGATCGTATTCTCTATCAAATCAATGGTAAGGTTTGCAACTAGGCTTAACCCTCCCAGCACCCTCAATTAACAAGGACCAACAATTGCCAATGGGTAATGTCACTTTATTCGCTTATCGAATATCAATGGCCATTTTCTCAATTCTCATTGCAGCAATCCATGTTACCCTTCTAGTTGTTCTTGTAGCAAATTCAACTTGAATAAGATCAATCTTCTTGACTAATGCAGTCATTGTTGTCATTGCATATGACAAGTGAATCATTCAAAAATAAATGTCATGAGAAGGACATTAAAAAACTAAAATCTCAGACATAGTCAATGATCATCCACCAAGCGAATGTTGAGGCAATCCCTCACCAACATAATTTAATAACCTATTCCTGTAATTCCTTTCTCAAAAAATTGCCTTTACAGTTATTCATATAGACTTCACTTAAATAAGTACTTTGTCTGTCTGTCTCCAAGGGTGATACAATATGCATTCTACTGAGAGACAGATGAACAGGAGTGGCATCCAACAAACAACCAGTCTCTCCTATTCATGGAAGTCAACAAATTTAAAATCTTTTTGCTTTCTGAAGCCTGCTAGTCCATCTATGCTTGTTTAATACAAATCACAAACTTGTTTCCATCTATTTATTTGTTTGCTTTCTGTAATTGGAAGCCGTAACCTTAACCCAAGCCACAGGCCCAATTGTATATGCAGTTTTGAGAAGGGTGAAATTTCTATTGTACCTTGTCGTGAATAGGCAAATATGGTAGCATTTTAACAAACTAGATGCTTTTTTATAAGATTAAAAATTGACACGGCATCAAGGAAAGGGGGGAACTTGTTTCGGTGCTCTCCTTTTATGTAATTGTATAATTAACTATATATATAACAGAATCTGTTTGTGACAATAGATTTTTAGTTGTTGTATTTATTTTAAAACCCAAATTTGTTAAATACGGGTAAGTAGAAATAAAATTACCAATTTTGCATGGAGTTTACACACGCAAAGCAACCTTTGATGGTAAAACCTAAAATCAGCATGATCAACAGAATATAAATCAATGATCAAAGCTCACAGATGAAACGGCCAAAAAAAACATCTCAACAATTATCTGCAAGCATATGTGCATCAAAACAAAACAAAACAAAACAAAACAAAAAAAATTGCAAACCAATCAAGAAAACCCATTCCAACGGTTCAGTAATTGATTATCAGGATACCTAAGGATTTAGGACTCTCTCTCAAAAAAATTATAAAAAGAAAAAGAAAAAGAGAAAAGATTATATAAATTAGATCTAAGCTGTGCCCCCCACCCATTACCAATGTTTACATGACTACACCTGGGTGGGGTGGGGTGGGGTGGGGGCAATTGACGAGTGAAACACTAGATGAACAAAAACAAAGTAGAGGTGGGAGTGGGAAGAGAAACAAACATTTGGGTCGCTTGGAATTTCGTCTGGGTGCTGAAGAATCAGTTGATCCAGCAGCAGCAGCAGCGCCTCCTCCGGAGCTTGAAGACGGGGCATTTGAATTCATTGAAGTAGAGCTTTCTTTGACGGACACAACCCAACCCAACTACTGATGATGATGATTAAAAAAATCACCCAAGAAAGATGGATCAAAAATGAAGAGGATGATGAGGGTATATGCGATCAAAATATTCAAAACACACACGTATGTATTACGAGCCGGGGGAGGATGAGAAGCTATATCACTTATGCTATGAGTCTGCTTCAGGAAAAAAGTTCAACCGAGATTGTATTCAAGGCGATGGGTAGAGCTATCAACAAAACTGTAACTATTGTGGAGTTAATCAAGAGGAGGATTGTTGGATACATCTTCTGTCGGGTACCAGCCGCCTCTACCAGCTGACCAGGTCAAGGCATGGACTGAATTTGATTATGAAGAAGAAGGATCACCTACTGGTCGTGGAAGGGGCTGCGGTGGTATTCCGGAGGGGTTTTCCGGCGCTTCTGAGCTTTGAATGGACAGAACAGAGAGGTAAGAGAGAGGTAAGAGAAGTTACAGTCTGGGTATGTGTAGAGGTCCGGCGGGCAGCCAAGGCGAAGCTGCCGCCCGCCGGTGAAGCAGAATGAATAGGTTCTTAACCTTGCTCTGATACCATGTTAAATAAATTGATGTATATTATTGATTGATATTGTGTTATGTATTACAACTCCTATATATAGAAGAGAAGGTGGTAGTAGGTGTAGTGTAGTGGAGGTGGTAGGTGAAGTGGGTGCTAGTGGAGATGGTAGGTGGAGGAGTAAATTGGTAAATTCTAACAGGCTTCCATGGAGATACAAAGCGAGAGAGACAGTGGTGTGGAGAAGGAAAGGCTTGCGTGCCCGTTTGTCGGCTGGTGGCAAGAGGTGCGCGATGCGCGTGGCTGCCTAAAGTCTTTACATATACCTTATGAGAAATGTTAAAGCCACTGGCGGTCACAGAGAATCTTTACATTAGATACCACCAAGTTGTCAAGCTTGATGGTATCTCTTGTCACCCTCCCAAGGGGAGGTGCAGGTTCACTTTTCTCTTTTCTTTTTTTCTTTTTCACCCGAGCTTCATATCATTTTCACCTTCCATCTCAGTTTTTGGGCTCAACGGCATTTGAAACTTGATATGCATGCCGGATTAGAACTTATTCTTCTTTCATGTTAACCTGTTCTTGCAAGCATTGGGGGTTATTCAAGTCTAAATAGGGTTGATCTTTATCTCTTCATTTTTGTTCAGGTGTTTGATTCATCATTGCCTGCTTTGGAGCTTGCCAAGAAATTAATCTGCACTTAACAACTTGGATTCCAGGGAAAATAATTCAGTTTTGAGACGTGAATGACTGATTTTATGAAGGACGCTCTTTCTAGGAATGAAACATGGACATCAATTATCATGGATCCCCTAAACTAGCACATCGAAGAAAGAGTATATTGTATATGAAAGTGCCGTTCAAAAAAACCTATACGTACCAAAAAAAGGAAAAAATAAAAAAGGTATTAGGCCCAAGTTTGGAGGACTAAATTAAGTGCACTTTTTTGTCTTATTTAGACTAAAAGTTGAGGTTGAAAATATGAATGTTTGGGTTAACTTTTTGACTTTTATGAAAAAATGTGTAATAAAAATTGTAAAAATTTATTTGTAGGGAAAAATTAGTAATGGGAATTGTGCAGCCGTATATTGTGACTTTTGGTGATAGTAATGACTTTTTTTAACTTATTTTGAGTAACTTTTTAACTTTTTGGCTTTTTTTAACTACCCAAACTTGGCCCTTGAATAACAAGAAGTAATGGAGCCTGTGTACATTTAAGCTAAGACTGACCTATCCAACCTGATTTTAGATCATTTGGGCTGGTTTTCTATGTTGGTTGTTCATGGACTCTGACATGTGGCCAGCTGGCTTTTTGGCTGATCGGTAGCAATTGTATTGTTTGTCTATATAAATGATAAAAGTGTTACATTTTTTCGAGTGTATTGGGTTCGTTTCATATTTTTATGTATTTTCAGTCACATTTAAAATCCAGATTGCCACTGAACCAACCTTGGTGGCAGATCTTGTTATTTTTTCTAGAGGCTTTTGGTGTTTTGGAATGTATGAAAGAACTAACTTTACTTTATAATCGTGAAACACTTTTCAAGAAAAATAAATTCAACTAGTGTTGCTGTTTGGATCATGGATTTGGGTAGGGATTTGAAAAGTTGAAGCGAAGAGGTTGGTGAATGTAATTATGATTTCATTTCATATTTTCTTTGATTTTCATTTCCTTTTAATTCCTACCAAATCCATAATTCAAACACAACCTGGGAGCTTATTGGATATGTTTAATTTTGCATAAGGTTTCAATGAGTTCAATATTATGTTTCACAACTTCTAAAGATAAACTTTTTAACATTCCCAATTGTTAAGAAAATTAGTGCTTGGTAGGATGGAAATGGGTCTCTCTCCTTTTTTCTTTTTTTTTTAATTAATTAATTATTATTTGTTGCTGGCTGTTGCTTAATTGGTTAGCATCTAATCCAGGTTCTACAAAGGTGCATCTGGCATGTACAGAAATTTAAACTCATTGGCAATGCAATTAACAAAAAAGGGTGTGGTCTTCTTATGACATGCTCATGTTCTGGAGCATATGACCCAAAGCGGACGTTTCTGCAAACACTTCAGGCAGTAGTTTGCTACTAGCGCATCAATATATGAAACTGAACTCTTTAAGTATATCTTTTAATTTGTTATATATACATTTTCCAGGCCTGCTGCCATCCATTGCGGGAGGAAAATCACAAGTTATACGTCAGGCTGGTGCGGCTTATGATCATCCTATTGATTCCGTCGTATCCAGAGGGAGCTTACCTTTCTAATATCTTGCTTAGAGTGCTGTGAAACTCAATTACCTCTTGCCAGTCATTCTGGCTAACATGGAACCAGTTGGTACCATCTTGTTCCTTTGAGCAATGAACTCTGTTCAGATGAAGATGAGCAAGGACCAGGACAGAGGCTGCTTTCGCAAAACAGTTAGTGCTAGACCTATCGAATTGGGCACCCAAATTGTGGACTTTAGTGGCCATTTCCCATTTTTGTAGGCATTGAAAAATTGTGATACCTTTCTCCCACATTACGAAGAAAAGAAAAAAGAAAAAAAAAAATAGAAGAGAAAAACTTTTAATATATATATTATTTTTAACACAATAGATGTCATTTTCCCATTAAGGGTTATGTTTTGGACCAAGGAATTGAAGTAGGCATTTAAAAAAAGAAAGAAAAAAGTAGGCGCAACGCATACAAATAAACCCCTACCAAAATCACAGCGTAAAAGGGGATAAACAAAATTGTTGTAGCCAATACGGTAACGAAACTTCAAATTTAGAATACAAATCACAACAAGAAAAAAGAATAGATTATAAATATATTTTTGAGATTTATTTAAAATATAAATTGTCCGGTAATTTGAAAAATTATAAATATTTCTTGTGTCAAAAAAATTTATTTAACAGAATTATTTGAAAATGAAAATTTTTAAATTTCTCCTATATAATAATAAAATTACTTGAATTATTATTAATTAAAAATAAAATTTGATGTCATTAAAATGTTAATTGATTTTTGATAATTTATTAATGAAATGGATCATTTGTTATAAAATTAAAAATTTCAACAGAGGAGATTAATTTTTCATAATTTATATGAGGTATAATTTTATTTTATACAAATTTTAAAGAAGTGAATCTATAATTTATTTATTTTTTAAAAAAATCATATAAAAATATAGTATCAAAAAACAAGTATTTCAGTGTGTTTGGTTTGAATTTTTTGGATTAAGTTTTTTGAAAATTAATTTTTTGTTTTTAGTGAATATTTTTAAAATTTTAAACATTTTTTTTACTTTTTTAGATGCACCTTATTAGATGTACTAAACAGTAAAAATTTGTGAAAAAATTTTTAAAAATTAAAATTAAAATACATAAAAATATAAAAAATGTACTGAATTCGTAGTTTTTTTTGGTATTTTTTTAGTATTTAGGGAATTTTTAAAAGATTTCTTTCACAAATTTTTTACTTTTTAAGATATTTATGTTAAGTATGTTCTAAAAAATTAAAAAAAAAAATTTAATAAAAATATCAAAGAGATTTTTAGAAACTTCTTACCCTAACTGTTCTGGTTCCCACTTATACGCCATGACAGCGTGATGATATATTTCTTTTACGTCTTCCAGGGAGATGATGGCATGGAAGCAAGGGGTACAAATTGTAAACCACCAAATTGCCTGCCCTTTGGAGGACTTTGGGCAGGGCAGGGAAGGGATGCAGAGGGAGGAGGCTAAGCCTATGGTGTGTAGGGACCTTTGGGGAAACATTAACACCCCGAACTAACATTAAAACCAAATTGGTGGCAATTTTGGGACTCCCTTTTAGGTCTCAGGGAACAGCGCCATACAGGATTTTCGTAAGTAGGTGGTGAGATTAATTGAGATGCGTTATAGTTGGTTTCAGACATTATGGTTATCAAAAATAATAAATAAAAACAAAAACAAAAACAATAAAAACAAGAACTCGTATTTTATATATATTTGTAAAATTATACATAAAATTTTCAATAACGTATCCAATATGCCACAAGCTTCAAAATTCCATACACACACACACAATGCTTCAAAAGATGTCTTCATTACATATATATATAATATATGTATAGTAATATCATCACTTCAACAGTTTCATTTTCACATCGTACATAAAACATCATCCACTAATGATGAGTGTACCCCTTCAAAAAATGTGTCACAAGCTTGCTCAGTGACCTCTGGGTTTCGGTTTCCATTGACAAAATATTGATTGGATCTCCAAGTCGCCTGAGAGAGAGAGAGAGAGAGAGAGAATGAGGCAAAATTTGTTTTCAATATTGTCATTTCACCTGTGAGAAGGATGTTGAAGCACAATATGACGCTTCTTCTGAGTTTTTTTTTGAAAACATTAAGATAAACATACATTGCAACATAAATTACTAGCAGTTATAGTAGTGGTGACAAGAGAGAATTTTGGGTGGGCCGTTGGTGGGTGAAAAGAATATATATA